GATTCTGAGGCCGAAAAAATTGAACCTCCGATCAAGCATTGCAGAATAAGGACTGTAAAAACAATGTAGTAATATTAAAACTAACCCAAAATTTCTACGAATTTGTTACAATTGTCCTTGCCCTCCGGACCTGTTGTTGCGTGATCCAGTACCTTAGAAACAACGCTGTATAATTCAGAGAAAGCGCGGACAGTCAAAGAAGTGATAAAAAGAGCATTACCTTCAATGCGCTTTCCCTCGACTGTTTTCGTTCTCTCAGCATCAGATTCATTAGCTGTAAGCCCTCACCGTCTAGAAATTTCCCTCTGTTGGCCGGCAGCATGAGAGCAGCACATAATGCGTCAAAAAGATTTTCCATATGTTCGCGCTCATCCATGTTTTCAGGATCATGTCGTTTGTATGCGGCAAGAGCCTAGAAACACATTTACTGAAAATTTATTCGCTTATACTGCAAATTTTCACAAAAAAAAACAAGACCCTTAGCTGCGTAAATGGACAAACTGCTTTCATATGGAAGAAGACCAGTAAGTTAAAACAGTTGGGCTAGCTGTGGCACCTAGCTGGAACACGGGTAATGCCTTTTCGGCCAGGTGGAAAAGAACGCGAAGAGGCTTCTGAGGCAGCCACCGCGTGAATCGCATTTCCCTGGGAGCTGTACTCCAGGAACTCGAGTATACAAATAGAAAGGCTGCAGGAACAAATGCTTAAAAGATGCATAATGAAGGAAATCTTGACAATATTGTCGGAGGAAGAAGAATCTGTCCACAAAAAAAGTGCTCTCATCCAACGTCCAATGTTATGTGGAGTTCGACGTAGATTTTGGCTGATGTAAACACAAGATTTTCACCAAAGTTAAAGGGGAAGAAGTTATGAAAGCATGTAGATGGGTGATTTTGACACCAAGAAAGTGGGTGAGCCATAAAAAATCAAAACTGATGAATCGTCGCTGCGTGAATCCATTGTTTTCGCCTCATTGCTTGGACGAGGAACCTACTAAATGGATTTTTGCTCTCACTCATGTTACTTTTTCTGTTTCACGACATGCAAAGCAAAAGGGCACTCAAGAAGCAATTAGAAGCGTCCCCACGCAACATTTGTGACAGATGTACGGCGGAAATTTGAACGCGTAACAGTCCTAGATTTTCGAAATGTTCATCAAAACATATGGGGAAATAATTATGGGGGAGAAGAGTAGAGCTGTTATCAAGAAATGATTCGGTAATACGAAACGACAGATTTCCAACATCGAGCGCGGCGTACCTATTTCCTTCAAAATTACTGTTTCCAAAAGATGTACATTTCGACCGCCTGTAGACTTGCCGCCATACATTTGCCCCACTTTATGCAATAAAAATGAGAAACCTGCGAAAATAATCCCAATCTTGCGGCGTCGAAAATAAGACACGGGGGCTTATAGATTTCAAATTCAAAAGTTTTCCTTCGGTGTTAGTAGCTTCTGTTCTTCGCACTTATTCTCTGAGCAGCACAATGAAGGAGAATCAAGCAATTAATTAACGCCGAAAGTCTTTGCCCAGATCGTGACTTTTGCCTTTGAAGATTGGAAGGAACATCATGATCCTTGTCACCACCATCAATATTGAAAGAAGATAAAGGCTTCGATGGTGTTCTCGGAAAAAAGGAGCAATGAAAGCAGATGAAAGAAAAAACATCAATACACCCAGCGAAGAAGAAATTAAAAAAAAACAGATAAAAAGAAATAGAAATTCGTGGGAGAAGAGACTCAAAAAGTACTCACACGAAGTAACATATCAATACCATCGACCTTCTCAGTAAGTTTTCGTTTCGCCGTCTCGGATAACTGGAGTAAAAGCGCGACGAGCTCACTTGCGTACATCTTGTTTGCATCAAACTGCCCCTTAACGAGGTCATTAATTGCTGCCTAGCAAAGTATGACAAAATGATTAATGCGGGCACGCATAAATTTCGAGAACATGAAAAGAGGAGTGTCAATTAGCGTACTCACTACTGCACTCGATTTTTGCAGTGCGAATAACCATCAAATCAAAACGAAAAAAAAAGTGAGGAAGCGGACCTCGCTTGCTTTTAGGAGCACTACCTAGAGATCAAACGTACGGGCATGAATTGCGCTGTGAAGGATTGCTTTATTTTGGACTTTATCCTTCAAAATTAATTGCTTAAGCTTTCAGCCTCGCAGCTCATTGCCAACGTTGACAGATCGGCTCACCGTAAAACGCGCAAGCGGTGATAAGCTGAAAGCTATGGTAAACATACCATGAAAAGCTGAGTTGGGGTGAAACGGTGCCCCGGAAGCAGTAACTTGCAGCACACTTGCCCGGAAAGCGAGAGGTGCGGGTTCGAGTCCCAACTGGGGCGAAAGTTTGTTTGTAAACCACTATTCTAGTGAAACGCACTTCTCATAGGAAAGGAATGATGAAAAAGGTAGAGACGCAAGTCAACGCAAGGCGCAAGACTTCCTAACAACTGGCTAGCTAGCGAATAATGGATCTGCCCCATTCCCCGAAGAGCTGTAAAATAACCTCAATTTTTGGGAAAAGGATGATGGATACAAAAAGTCTTATGTTGGGCGAAGGTCCGAAAAAATTCGTGCAATGCAAATTTAACCCTGCTCGTCCGTTTTGCCAACCATCTGAACTACACCAGAGTCAACGGCTCAGACCATTTCAGTGCAATACATGGGCGATAACAGGCAAAATCAGGCGAGTGGTATGGAATGCAAACTGGGAGTAGCATACATCACTGCGCTAAACCGTTAATGGGATACTAGGGTTCGAAATAGGCTCACCAGTGCAGCTTATATCTTAACAAACGTATCCTACTTAACTTCGCCAGACAAATTTGAAGCACACACCTTTTGACATGCTCTCCGTAACAACCAAAGGAATAGGTTTTGATTCACACAGTCTTCGGCAGTTTCTGGTCGGAAGTCAATCATCTGAAACTTTCCAATAATGTAGCATATATTGAGTTGATTCCTCAAATCGAATGAAATGGAGCATTTTCAAAATGGAGTGTAGTGAAGGATCAACAGATCAATTCCCAAAGAATGAGCCGATGTTTGTAGATTCAAAAATCTCCTTTTATGAAGTGGTATTCATACACCACGACAAAAGGAAAGTAAGAGAAGGACAACAGATGTACATGACAGAAAACGAACAATAATGAAGACGGACGGAGTTAACCATAGAAAAAACTGTATTCAAAAACTAACATTTTCTACCACACTGAGAGCATTGTGGATGGCATCAGCGTCGTCTTTGACCTTCTCATCCAACTTTTCAAATGCTGTGAGGAAAGACTCGATAATTCGGCCCGACGATAAGCTCTCGATCAATTGTGCTGCTCCTGCTTCACCCTCGTTCAAAATGTCCACATCAGTTAGTTCCTTAAGCAAAAACATCAAAAAGAAAATCCATAACTGAGAAAAACATGCTGTAACGATAACCCTACCTGAAGTAGGTTAACGGTTGCACCGAGAATGTCCGAGTTTTCATGACTGAGTAACGTGAGCATGAGCGATGGACCACCAGCCTCCACAAAGCAGTGGTAAAGATCCGGTTGTGTCGCCAGCACATGCATTTCCTAATTAGAAAAGTAAGAGCTACAGGTAAATAAGCATGACAAATAATGCGCCTACCTGTATTGCAGTGTCTAACTCTACTTCCGAATCCATAAACTTTTTAGGATCATCTGCATGCTTAGTACGCATTTCACGATTCTTCAGAGTCTTTCTTTCGAGCTGAACAAAAATACATTGGTCAATACATGCACATCTAGAACACTTCAATCACTTTTGGACAAGGAACTCATGAAAATGTACCAGGATAGGTGAACACGAAATGGACGAACAAGTATTACACACAGTGGGGTCACGAAACATAGCGATTCCTACATTTAGAGAACAAAGTTACGTGGAGGCCTGCTCATGAAGCTTTTACCTCCTCAAAAATCTTGTAACAAACACTCCAAAGAAAACTGGTGCTCTCTTTTTGAAATACCATGGTAGATCCAAAAGTCGATACTAGTATGGCAAAGATTAGGCGTGTGCATTGACTCGCCGTAATTTTATTTAATTTATGGCCCACCAAAAGAAAGTGCTAATTGAAACCTACGGATTCTTTGGAATTTCGCTAAGGAGATGATTTTGTTC